GACTCAGAAGTACCGCTGATGTAGGGTGCTATTTTAATGACTGAGATTAAATAATATTGTTAAAGTAATTAGCTGATCTCTCCTATTTTAAATTTCCTCATGATAAAGCTGCTGAATCAGTTATCAAAAATGCCTACATTTAAAGACAAATTGTATTCTTATTTTGTTTGGCTTTTTATTTAAAAATTAAGGCCACTGAAAAGAAAGCAGTTATGTTCCTGATACTAGAATGTTGTCATATCATATGTGATTCAATATTTTTAAAAGAATAACTATTCTTTTTTGAAAGAATAATGAAAAGCTATGTTCAAAACAATCCAGCTCAGCACTATCATATTAAAATCAACTAGAAAACACTGCAGAATTTACACAGCAGTTCTATTGGCCCCTTCACATGCAGAACTCTGAAACAATGAGCTTAACACTAAGTGTTTTAGGAACACTAATAACTACACAAACTTTGGGTGGGGCTTGAGCATTCAGCAGAGGTTTGCAGATTTCCTCTCTGAAGCCAGGTCTCAGCACGGCTGTGAACACTGAAAATTCCAACCATTCTTAACATGAAATGTGACTCACCACTCTGCAAGGTATCGACTGTGACATGTAAATAAACATTAAAAATTCCACATTCAGCTGGGAAGCCTGTTTATTCTGATAACCAGGATTTTTGGTCTAAAGACATTTATTTATATCCTGTCCAGTACTGTGAGTAAATGTCTTTTCTTGCTTTCACTATGATTTCAGTGATGATGACACAATGAAATACCAGAAATACTAATATCCACAAAATTACTAGCAACTGTGGAATAACACATATTAGAACTGTCAATCCAGGCTAATATGCAGTTGCCTCAGATAGAAAACTATTACAGAACTCAGAGATAACCTGCACCCTTTGATCATTCAGGTCTCCAGATGCAAGTCCTCTGAAGGTAATACTGATGCCTTGAACAGAAACCTGGGGAGAATGAGATAACTAGTGAAATTCTAAATTAGAAAATACATTAATCTGGTTCATGGGTCAAAAACTTTAGCAAATACAGGCATTCTGTACTCACTACAACCTACTCCTAAACCTTCCTTAGTGAAGCTACAATGTCCTCTTTAGTACAGAACTGGAAAAATAACATTCAATCTGGTTACTGGAAACTTAACTAAACTGGTTGTTTTGTTGTATCTTCCAGAGGTTTATGACAGCAAGGTCAGCTGAGCAGAACAACTGGAAGTCAAACCAAGAAGCTCCTGAGAGTAACTAACTAGAATCAATCACTTTCATCCTCCTGCAGACTCCATTTGTGAAGATTTACGTTGCTTTTAAGTTGGATTCCCAGTTTGAGACATGAAGGTTTCAGCCTGGAAAACCAAACAGGAGGCAAACAAATTCAGAGTTTATTGCAAAAAACTGATTTAAACACTTTCAAGAAAGCAGGTAGGACTAAGGAGCCAACTACAACTGGAAAATGATTAATTCAGAGTAAAGTGAGCTGACCTGCAGCACTTTAACCAAACATCAGAATACAGAAACTATTTTAATGGATTAGAGCAGATGTCTGCCTAGTCCAGTGAGGATAGCAGCAGAATATGAACTCTGTACTAGACAGGTGTGAGATAATCTACCTTCCATATTAAGTCTCAATTTTATTTGAAATACACAGATTGGCTGAAACCATGACATAGAGAATAATGCTGAGCCTAACAGTAGACTAAAAGCTGATGGAAATCCCTCTTCTGAAATGCTTTGTGCAATTCTATTGTCCTAATCTCCCTCCCCAACTAAAAAAAATTTAAAAGGTTAAAAATTTGCAAAAACAGAAACAAAAATCTTCTACAGGGAAAAGGAATGGAATATGAAAATATTGTATATAGGGAAAGAGTAAGAATAATTACCAGGATAATACAGATTAAGATATTTACTTCCCTGTAACAGAAAGAGGTACTAATAAAATTGAAATGAAAAATTCTTGTATTATAAAAAGATGGATTTTCCATAAAGTGTAACTGATTTACAAAACATCTTGACACAGTGTATTTTCAAATCTAAGAGTTTAGAGGGGTCATAAGCATCCT